GCTATTATTTCTCTATCTAACTCTTGAATTGGGTAAAAGACCATTTTACCCCTCCATGGTCTCCATTACTTATGTTGACCAAACCCCAGAGTCAACATAAGTCAAAATCAAGTCAACAGTCCATGTTTGACCCAACTCGTCGAGTGCACTCATGCAACTCGTCGAGTCCACTCACGTCCTCAGAAGTCTCGTGAAGGTCTAACTTAGCTCGTTGAGTTGACCTCCAACTCGCCGAGCCATCACACGATTCATCTCTTCGGGATAAACCCTAACCAACTCGTCGAGTCGGCTCACTGACTCGGCGAGTTCATTCAAACCCAAAATCCTTCAAACAATTTAAAGCAGATCTATCACTCCAAACACTAGATCTATCATCTCAAGGCTCAATAGTCACGTAAAGCTTTGATCTTTATGTTAACCCTGCAACACTCGTGTATGCTAGCCATACATAATGCTGGACCCTATAGACTTTTGAATACCTAATCCTACCCTAAGCCCTTCATTAAACAAGAACAGGAAATAAGGCCAAACCAAACATTCTCAGGCTATAAGATCTTAATTATGTACATACGTGATGCATACACTAAGCAACTATAGTAATGATGTCAATTTCATATAAGGAAAACCCTAGGCTACCAGGCATCATATAATCAATCAATTCTATCATGCAATTCTTGAAGATCCCTAGCCTAGTACTAGCATGCTTTTCTAACATATCTCAATATCAAATAACTACATGGTATTTTGGGGTCTACTTATGGGCTCCAGCTGATTGTACACTCTGCATCATCCTTTAATTATTTTGAAAACCTTTTTGAAAATATTTTCCTTAGTTTGAGATTGGATTCACACGAGTGTTCCTCCAATTCACTCAAACTAAGGCTCTGATACAAACTTGTACATCCATAAAAATCATGCCAATTTAAAACTTTTTAAATCATTCAAAAACCAAAAAATATTACAAATTTGTTTTCAAATAGTTCCATATCAAAGTAACCAAAAAACAACGTCATAAAATGTGAGGAGTTGTATGATCACGCCTTTGCCTTCCCCCGATCATTCGAAGTACCTGAAACCAAAACTAAAAACTAAAGCCCGAAGCTTAATGAGTTCCCCCAAAATAGCCATACACACAACAAAATAAATATAATCACAAACAACATATTATGGGTCCAGTCAACCATCGGGTTGGAATACCCAGACCCCAACCATCGGGTTGGAATGCCAACATACTATGGGTCCAGTCATCCTTGGGATGGAATACCCCAGGCCCACAACCATCGGGTTGGAATGCCCACATACTATGAGTCCAATCATCTAGACCTGGCAATCGTGTCGTGTTCGGGTTGGCGTGTCGCGGGTTGGCGGGTCAAAATATGCCAACCCAAACACGACCCATTTAAATATACAAGTCACGGGTTGGCGGGTTTGGAACATAAACCCATATATGACCCACCAACCCATTTATTTATACGGGTTCACAGGTTGGCGAGTTCGTGGGTCCAAATTTTAGACATTTAAGTCTTAAACATCCAAATGAAAATTAAAAACATTTATAGAAACATGTTATAGACTTAGCTTTAGAGGTTAAGACTTACGACCTTAGACCATCCACCACGAGGCAAAATGTCAAAATAGTCAAATGGTCTATGAATCAATGGTATATATTATCTAATACTTATTAAATATTAATACTTGATATATAAATACATTTAAAAATAAAATAATTTTTTTTATTGAGAATATAAACGGTTTGGCGGGTCAACCCGTTTATTTTTTGAGAAACCCATATATGACCCGTTTAATAAACGGGTTGGCGGGTTGAAAAACTCAACCCAAACCCATTTATTTCGTGTCGTGTCGAGAATTGCCAGCAATCATCCTTGGTTTGAAATACTCACGGACCATAACCATCGGGTTGCAATGCCAACAAACTATGGGTCTAGTCATCCTCGGGATGGAATACCCCAGGCCCACAACCATCGGGTTGGAATGCCCATATACTACAAGTCTAATCATCCTCAGGATGGAATACTCACGGCCTACAACCATCGGGTTGGAATGTCGAGGTCTATTGTCTCTCGCACAAAGCAGATAAGCCTCAACCACTAATCAAACATGTACACATATATCAGATAATCACATAACAGTCTATAGACAAACAAACCGATCTAACAGATCATACTAGCATAACATCATCCTATCAACCAGGATACTAATCTAACGAATCATAACAACATAACACCAACCTATCTACCAGGATATTGATCTAAAAAATCATACTAGCATAACATATCAGGATAACAATCCAAAAGGGCCAGCCTGGGTGCCTTCGACCCATGAGTACAGTAAGGAAAACTCACCTCACAACTGTCGAACTGTAGTGATAAGATCAATGTCTCGAATCACACCTGCAAACTCCACCACCTATGTTTACCATAGAACCATTTCCATAAATTCCTAATTTACTAAAATACCCTAGAAGTCAAACTGGTCAACCCTTAGTCAAAGTCAAAGTCAACAGTCAAGGTCAACAGTCCATGTTGACCCAACTCGTCGAGTGCAGTTCACTGACTCGTCGAGTCCTTCCAGAAATCGAGAAATCATGAAAACCCTAGTTGACTCGCCGAGTTTCCAGAAAACTCGTCGAGTCCATGTGTGTCTAAAAGTCGAGAAAACCCTAACTGACTCATTGAGTCATCTTGCTGACTCGTCGAGTTCATGCAGAAACCAACAACGACTAATATTCATCGGACTCCCCCAGTTGACCATGCAACTCGTCGAGTCCCTTCAGTCCGTTTCTCATTCAGACATTTTTAAGCTACCCTAAGGCTCCAAATTGTAGATCCAGCTTCCTAAGGCATAGATTCCACGTAAATTTGCAAACTTTACGTGCATGCAAGGTCTTAACGGCTTAGAACACCAAAACCAATTCTAAACTGAGGTTTAAGGCATGGTGAGAGGTCAATACGAGATAAAGTTGACAGCTTTATGAATTTGGGACCTGGCGGAGTCTAGATCTGAAGTTACAACTTTAGATCATGGCCAATACCCGAAATGGTTCACATATATGCTAAAAATGGACCTTAGCTTAAGCATGGAGAGATCTAGCTAGAGAGAAGTCAAGGTAACGACTTGTTACCTTCAAAATGATGCCAAGATGTCATAGAGTTAGATTCACAAGCTCTTTTTGCTCCAAGATCCTTAAACTTCAAGCCTTCTTCCCAAACACAACTTTCCAAGCTCTTTAACACACAAAAATGGAGTAAAATCATGATTAAGGTTTCTTCTGGCCATCAAAAGGTGGTGAGGGGCTGGAGGTAAGGACTTAAGGTCCTTTAAATAGGGTGTAAACCCTAAAAATTAGGGTTTCATTTACCACCTCCTACTCGTCGAGTTCGGGTCCTCCAACTCGTCGAGTAGGTCCAATAATCAACGCGGGATAACCCAACTCTACATGACGAGTTGGGGCAACCAACTCATCTAGTAGGTCCATAAACAAGTACATAATGCTTTAAAACTTATTCCTAGGAGTCGGGGTGTTACAATTTGCATGCAACTTTTTGAGGTCATCAGCAGTGAGAGGTGCTTGACATTGTTCATCCTGTCCCATGAGAGTTGCAGCAGCATCTCTAACAATGGTTCGAACTGGAACATGAGGAACTTCTTTAACGGATCTCCATATAGATTCACCTTTTTCTTTTCCAAGTAAAAATCTTTCCATTATGACTTTCCAGTGATCATACTCTTCAACAACAAGCATTGGGGCACATTTAGGGAAACCCATGCTATTTTCTATTTGCATTGAGTACATTTTTTGAGAATTAGAAGCAACCATTGAAGTTAAGATATCTTGAGCAAAAGTGGTATATAGAAGAATTTTTATCCTGAACACAAAAATGATCGAAATACCAAGGTAATCTCGAATCAACTATAATTTGTTCTTATGGATTCAAAGGATAACCACTCAAGCTCTAAAGATCTGATTGCGCAGGGACAAGGCTCAAAAACTCAAACCTTGAGTTAATGCTGAAGATCAATGTCTGCTTCTGATTATAAGTTCCAGTCAATTCTGGCAAGACCAGTCGAGACTGAAGATAAGAAACAGAGTACTTCAAGTATTAAATATGTAGTAATAATCAAAGTAAAGAAAATAAATGAACAAGTAGAATGTTTGAAAAAGTTTGATTTGAGGGAAAGATGCAAGTGAAGTAAATTCAAATATAGCTATCTTTGGAGGAACAATCCGTCGTCTATTCTTGACATTAAACACTCCTTAAATAAGAGAAAGGAGTACATCGTACAAACTCAAACACATACATAGGACCGGACAAAAGAGTCCCTTTTGAAACTCTGATTATCCATTTTGACAAAATAAACTAAGTCCTATGTACTGTTACATCAAAATAAAAGAAAAGAATAATTAATGCATAAACGGATAAACTGATTCAGACTTATTCTTCGTTTAGAACATCTTCTCTTGAACATAATCTCTACTCCAGACATAAACTTCACTTCTGACCATAGATAATATTCCGGACCATATTCTACTTTGGAACTAAGACTGACTTCAGAACATGAAAGGTTAAAGATTGCTAGAGGTTCACTTTCAGGCTCCAACAGATCGAAAAATCAGTCTGAATGAAATCAGAATTTTCAATATCGTAGTTCTTCTTAGGCATCTTTCGAAAGTAATCATTTAATTCAATAGAAAAATATCTTCAATTGTTTCATAACATCAATGCTTGTTGGGATCACCCTTGTTCAAGCTAGGTGGTCATTTGCTCTTCTCCTCAAAATGTTGTTGATCTACCTTTGCTTCTAAATTTCAAGAGCTTGTTGCTTTTCTACTCTTATTCTGATAGAACAATAGAAATAACTTTTCCTTTATCACTTGAATCATCATTTGAAGTTGACTTGTTAGGAATCGAACTCGAACTTGAACCTCCAGCTCTTTTGTTTATTGAAATTCCTTTTGTTGAAGCTCTTATTGTTGTTGTTTAGAAATTTGTAGTCAAAGACATGGGAAGTGAAGTCAGAATTTGAGTCGAAATTACTTTCTCGACTAGAACTCCTTTCTCTTTATCAGAATCCTTTGAAGAACCAACTCCTCCGATTCGTTTCTCTCCCCCGTGTGACACTTGCATTGCATGTGGAGCATTAGTTGGTAAACAAAGAACCAAATCAAGGATTGGAGCAATCTCGGATTTGATATTGGACTAAATATTCGAAATCAATTGAGAAAGAGACTCTTGAGATACTGTCGATTGATTCGAAAGATAAACCTTGGAAAGAGACTCCTTGATACTTGACAAAAATTCTTCCATCTTCTCAAACATCTGAGTATCCTTTTCTGACTTAGCTTCAAGCTTATTCGTATACTCAGAATTAAACTCAACCAATTTAGTGATAGCAGTCGTAATGACATCGACTTTTCCATACAACAAGATGTAATTTTGCTCCATTTTCTGAACTTCTTTCAACAACTCGGATTTGAGTTCAACAATTCTGAGATCCACAGACTCCTTCATTGTAGTCACTTGTTTAACAAAAAGTTCATGACGTTCCTTTGCAACGTCACGAAGCTTCTGAATCTCATAGTCATAGCTCTTTGAATAAAACACTAACCTTTCTGCTTGTTTCTGCTCAATCCCCTCAATCAAGTTTTGAAAGCGATTTTTTTAAGCTTTAATCAAATATTCCATTTCGATGTCGGTTACAAAGTTCTTTCCTATTGTATCTACTTATATTTGAAGAAGAGAATTGATTTTTGAGTTAAGGATCTTGAACTTTTTACCTGACATGTTTAAGTTATCAGGAACATTCTCCTCTTTAGGATCAAATTGAAGATCAGTAAATGACACCATGATATCATCATCATTAGGTTCTTCATCATTCTTTCAAAGGAAATCAATACAACTCAAATCACAAATGAATCCACTTTTATTTACGATGATTTTTTTTTTCAAAAACTAATACAGCTTCATCTCATTTTAATACGCTTCTATTCACAAGCATAAATGAATATACACTTTTATTCACAAATGAAACATAAACAACATGAATCAAATCCTTTTTATTCATCAAACCGAATTGAAAAATAAAAATTGTGTAAAAATTTATCATTTCTTCAAAAATGAATACATGTAATCACAAATAAATATACTATTATTCAAAAATAAATATAACTAAATAGAATATAATTTACATCTAAAATTGATAGAACATAATATATGTTTTCATTATCAATTAATTTCTTCACAAATAAATACATGTAATTAGAAATGAATCTACTCTTATTCACAAATGAATATATCTATATATCATTAAGTTCCGGACACCATATCTCTCTCGTGCATTTCATCAAACAACTTACGTGTATTACATTTTCCTTGCATCAGATTATAACTTTATGTAGTTATCTTCTCCATTGATTATAAGAGCCGATATGAGATGAATTAGAACCAAGAAATAAAGAGTTGGTGTCTAAATGAAGAACCGGGGGGGGGGGGGGGTCTGCCTCTTCACCTAAATAAACGATTGGTGTGTAAATGATAAATAGGAGTTTTCCCCTTCACCTACAAAAATGATGAACAAGGTAACTTAAAACAAAATTGGAAAACATGGGAGAACTTACTGTGGCATCAGTGATAATCCTCAAAAGAAATCGGATTACTGGTGTGGTTATAATGAGGAGCCCCTGTCGATTTGTGTATGCATGTGTATATATTATGCTAAACACCAGACCATCATCACCATTGAAGGTTTTTTTATCAATCCATTGTCTTCACCATCACAGACCCGCTAAACTAGACCCTTCCAACATCATAAACACGAATGAGAATATCAGACAAAGTTTTAATCTAGATAGAAGGGTGTGACTGCAATGATGATTTTTTTCAATTCCTTCACGGTCTCTCTATCTTTCTCTAATTCCTCTTGCAAGTGATACCTTTTACACCTCGGGGGGGGGGGGGGGGTCGATTATTGCTACAACACTAGATGATGATGGTGAGCAATGGTGCTACTTTGCGGTGGTGATGATGAATGCATACCTTAGGTATACAAAGACAAAGATGAAGCGAGATACGGTAAATGTTATACCCTTTCTACCATTTAAAAATTTACACTTTAATCCCTTCTGTTTTATAATTTATATATATATAACCCGTTTGATAAAATTTTTAGATCTATATATTTAGATTATTCAGATTTGTTCTCGCGTTCTCAACCTTTTAGGTGTTCTTATTTGATCCTACTCATATATATATATATACACACACACACACACATATATATATATATATATATATATATATATATATATATATCTTTACTATATTATTAAACATATTGCCTCTTTCTTGAAATTTAAGAGGTATACTTATTTCAGCGTAATGTATAACTTTACTAAGCTTACAATGGAAGCGTACCTCTATCTCTACGTGTTGGAAACACTAAACCCTAGCCTACTCTACACAACATTTGGAACCGTTAAACCCACTCCCTTTATCGCTTCTTTTCTAACTCGCTTCAATTTTCGGTGTACCTCTGGTATCACCATCCTCGCTCACTCAAATGCTCTTCCTCTAGGATGATTCCTTTGGATAATTGACGCCGTGCAACTTTACTTTTATTTACCTCTATTTCTCTTCTAAAAGCTATCTAATGAAGATCCAACTTGTGAAACCATATCTAGCCACTACCACTGCCACCCCCTCTCTTTCCCCTCTTTTTCCTTCTGTTATGACGAGAAACCGTAATAGTCTCCACAGCCCTAATCGTTACCTGCTTGTGTATATCTCTAACGCCTACAGGTTCCATTTTCATTCGTGGTAATCGATCGGATTTGGCAGTTTTAGGGTTTGATTTGAAGCTCAACCTGAAATCGATCGTCTTTTATTGTCTGCATCTCTGCCATCCCGACGAAGAACATAGCAAAAGAGACCCATGAATGTTTTCTCCGCACCTTATCTCGATCTTTCAGTTTTCTTTTTTCATTCTAATTTTGACTTCTCCATCTATATTTGTCTCTTTTGCAGGTAACTGAAATATGAATGATTCTTTTTGACGTCCTTACCCCTTGTGCCCTAATACCATTCGACACCCACACATCACAAATGTTCTCTGGTTCAAACCTCCAACCACTTTAGCGAGTTCCTCCACCACTCCATGGAATTGCTCTGTTAGAGCCACCAATTCATCGCCTTCCTCCGCAGGTAAGCTTCTTTTCTCCATCACTGAAATTGTTTTCTTTCTTCTCTAAAATTGATATGCTTGTTTCTCTTCTCCATTTCTGAAATCGATTTATTATTTTAAATTGATTTGTTAAGTTATTTCTTCTATAAAATCGATTTTGAATCTAATTTTTAACACAAAGGGCCAAAACTGAATATTATTCTTAAGATATGCTCAATTTTGTTCTTATTTTTTTGGTTTATTTTGCAACAGAAGCATGATCGAATCTAATTTTTTAGTTAGAATCCCTGGTAAGTAAGATTTTTTGGTTTATTTTGGGGTCTTTCTTTCTCATTTGGTCATCTTTTGAGTTGGAATCCCATCTATGTGTATAATACACGCATCGTTGTTCTTGGATGTGTTGTTTACAGCCATCGTTTACGGCTTCTGGTTTCACAGGTTTACATGTTGGATTTGGGAATCTGGTCACAACCATTACTCACAAGCCCTAAGATATTTACAGGTTCGATTTTTACATATTTTTACTTTTCCGTTCCATGGTTTGGACGTTTGAGAAATTGATGAGATTTTTTGGTTGACCTGGTAGGTTGTTTTTGGGGTTTCTTAACATGATGAAAAGAACTAGATTTTATTGATTATTAAAATTTGTTTTCAGCAAGCTTTTGCTTTTGTACATAATTTGGGTTTTACTCTGTTTCTGGAGGTTTTATTGAGTAAACCTGGAAATGGTTTCAAAGGTCTCCAAACTCCATCTTTTTTTTTTTTTTTTTGTGAAAATGAACTCCTTTATAAACCATAGGTTTTCTAATTTTAAATTGTCCTATATCACTCCTTTGTATAATGTGCAGACAGAAATGATAGTTTGGTGATGGAGGTGGATATAGCTGGTGATGCTTGACATATGACTTAAACCCACTTCGATGGTAAGTTTAAGTTATTCCATGTCTATATTCTGGAATTGGATAATTGACATGTTTTTATGGAAATCAGGATTGGAATAGCTTTTTGCATAGAAAATGTGTAGGCTCAATCTGGGGATGCTAGAGAAGATATTAATGACATAAATGACTATGCTACATTGGCTATTTGAGAGAATAAATGCTATAATTTGTTGTTTTAGGGATAATTCTTGACTGGACCATAGTTCTATCCTTTCACACAATAATTCTGATGTTGTTTTTGGAACTACAGGTATGTCAACACTATCAAGGAACAAGTGGCAAATAGAAATTCAGATTAAAAAGCAGGCTTAAGACCTACCCGTGTACAACGTTATGTAAAAAAATTGACATTTGTATACTCTTTTTTCCTTATTTGATTGTTTGTATGTAAATGTGGTCACTTTATGTCATAAGTTTAACTGAACTTTTTAATTTTATGTAGATTGAAGTATGAAAGGTCTGAATGCAAGTTCTCATTGTCTGAAGCATGCTGATTCGAAGCAACATCGAAGGAGCCAAATGGTGGAGGTACACACTTATTTGGTTGGATTAAATTTGAATTTTAGAAGAAAAAAACTCGACATTTAGATTTTATATGGGTTGATCCTAAATAGTATTTGTTTTTTTTTTTTTTTTAAACTGGATTATCTGAATATATATCTGGCTATACTGGATATCTGTATCAGAGGCGAAAATCTGGCACACAACTGTTTGGATTTTAAAAAAATTCGATAGCTAAAAAATGATTCGATCTGAAGCGGATTTAAATAAAACAATTTTGTTTTTAACTGTCTTTTGTGTGGTTGAACTTTCATTTACAATACACAAATGAATGAGAGTAGGTTGCTATTTCTTTACCAAATGATTGTAACCTTTCTGTATATTTTATCGCAAGATAACAAGAATGTCATTTTTGCATTCGAGAATGATCAGGTGTTGGCCAAAAAATAAAATTTACACCATTTTTTAATGTATCGTTGGCTAGAAAGTAAAATTAAAATCACTTTTTATTGTATCTTTTTGTTTAATACAATTCAGGACTTTCACTTTGTAGTGTTTGACTTTGGGTGCAACAAAGAAATGGTATAAAATGAAGTTGCAAAAGCTGAATTCATTATACATCTGATTAGTTTGAAAATAATTTAGAAATATTATATGGATGTTTATATTAATATTTCATTGTGAATCAATGGGCTTTTGGATGTTTATATCGAACAAGAGAGCTTTAACCTTCTTTTTTCCGATCTAATCGGTCAACCATTTTGGAAAGTTTAACTATTTAAATATGAACGTGATTTCTTGCAGGCAAGGCTTATCAGGGGTGATTATTTGATGATCAATATCACATGGAAGCTCTAGAGATGGCAAATTAGTTCTCGTAATCTATTAACTATGGCACTCTACATATGACAAATTAGTTCTCGTGATTATTTAATGATAGTAAAAACCTTATACTGGCTTACTGCTATTATTCATAGGAGGATTAAATTGAAAAATAGCAATGCACTTTTGTTTATTTGTAAATAGATGTTAATGATATAATGATAGAAGTATAGAATGCATTGAAGGTTGTTGAGTTTGTATGGTGGATTTTTAGT